GCGCTGCCGCGGGCAGCCCGCCGGCGCTGCGCGCCGCCCCGGGCCCCTGTTGGCAGCCTGTCCCGGGGGGGAAGGAGGAAGCCGGTATTCCTGTCGGTCTTCCCGAGCGCGCTCAGGGCGGTGAAAAGCTGGCCGAGACGTTGTTTGGCTGATTCAATACGAACTTCAGTTCAATTCAGTTGTGTGACCTCTTTTTGCCGGGTAAGAGTTAATAAACGAGCACTGAAATACTCTTTGATGCCTCGAGTAATAACTTTAAAGGTAAAAATGAAAAGGAGTTTGGCAATGGGCCTAAGCAGCTATCTAAACTTACAAGAACAACTGAGTAAACAGCGTCTAACAAAACCTCGCATATTTCGGCCGCCTCTGTAACTTCCTCCCCCTTTGCCCACTAATGTCACTCTAATGCCGGAGGTTCTTTAGGCTGAGCTGTTGGGTTTGAAGAACTATAAACATATGCCGAAAGATTTTTAGGCTGTGCTATTGTTTTTGGAAAAAAAAAAAAGAAAAAAGAAGAAAGAAAGAACCCAACCCAAACCGAAAATCCCCAAACCAGTGGATAAACATCAATACAGTACATGCATCTAGTTTGCTGGGAGTATAAATATCAGATGACTAGTTTATTAGTGGCTTGACGGTTTGGGGTGAACTGATTAACTGCATGGCCGGGAAGGGGTTTGTTACCTCACATCTACTTAGTGGGAGATTATGAACGTCTTTTATAACACGTTATTTCCCTTGCATCTGAGTGTAGCTACATATTAAGATACGTTGTACATAACCTAAGGTATCAGTATTATTTAAAAGGTGCAAAATATAACATAACACTAATAAAGATCACTCACAGCCGCACTTGCGTGTGACCTATTTTTTTCTCACGCCGGGGCTTTACGTGTAGTCTTTTCCACCCGCTCCGAACAGCATAAAAAACGTTCGCCCCTTTTTAGTGGTGCAGTAACATTTCTGGAGTCTCGGGCTGTGCCGGCTTTGGTTGTGTGCGCACACGAGTGCCTCGGAGATGTGGTATCTCGGCTGCGGTTTCCGAACGAGAGGGGGGAAGATGCTCGCCCCGTTACAGCCTTTAAGAAAACAGACGAGGGCGCCAAACGACAGCAATAAACCCTGCCGCAGGCTTCCGCTCCGCC